TGCTTCTATTTAACTTGAATGTAGGAGATCAGCTTCATTCCTTCAGTCAGAAAACGCTGCAGCTCCTCTTTAGAGTTGAAACACTTTTCAGATGATTGTATTTTGTCAAAAAACTGAGATAATTTCACTTTTCTTTTCCCGCCCCTGAGTTCTTCTGTTTAATATTGAAGGCGCGTATTCTGGGAGATACGTGGCGCGTGAGGAGGTTATCATTTCAATGTCCTGCATTCTGGGATATAATTATTACGACTGCTACGCTCAGACGGTCCTGTGATTAGTTAAAAATTTGCTTCGCTCTCCCAGTGGGAAACCTCTCACCCCGTAGAGAGGGAGGAGGGCGGCGGTACGGAGGCAGGAAGGATGAGTGGCACGGAGGGAAATGAGGAGAGTATACACAATCAATTTTTAATTTTTAAAAGCCAGAGATAAAGAAAAGGAGCGTTGGCGCTAATCCTGAAAAATTGGATTTAAAAATCAAATGTTGACGTCCCCGTTTAGACCATCAGAGTAAGTTCTGTTCACATGTCGAGGGCTTCTCATTCCCAAATTACCTGCATGGGAGTCGTGTTTATTGCTGTTTGAAGCTAAATTAGTTTGAGGTTTTTGGTGATTCTCATCGTCTGCAGCCACGTTAACACTCACACAGAAGATGGAGAAGCAGATGCATGTCTGAAATCCTTCCTGTTTGAACTCTCGGTTTCTACCCGTCCAGCAGCTCCGTCGGCGTGTGCGAGCTACAGTTTGACTTTCTGGCACCTCATTTGAGAGCGGAGGTGACGGAGAGCTGCTTCCCTTCGCTCTGCTCCTGCCCCGACATGGTCACTCGAGGCAATGACATTTTTTAACACAGCAGCCGCCTTATAAAGCAGCACAAGTGTATATCTTGTGAGAGCACGAGGCCTGGCGGGATGATACTAAAGCAGCACGAGTCTCTCAAAGGCACGTTTAATTCTGCAGCTCGGATCCTTGAAGCGCCGTCGCCGTGCGTCTCCTGTGGTCGCGTCTGGGATTGGATTTGAAATGGCAGTGACCCTCCACCTCCGTTTTTCTTCTATAGATATACGTGTAGCTCCACCTTTACCTCCCTCCACATGCACATATATATATATATACCCCACCACCCCCGCCCGAACCTCCACGGGCCACACTGTCACCTCACATCCCGTCTGAGAGATTCAGGCTCAGGAGGGAGGAAATGAGGTGAAAAAAGAGAAGGTCTGGAATGAGAATGTTTCCCCGGGGCGAGGAAAAATCAAGAAAATGATGTTCAGAAATTCATAGATTTAAAAATGAGCAGCGAGCGGTGGGGAAGGAGAGAGAGAGGGGAGGAAGGCAGAGGAGGAGGAGGAGGAGGAGGAGAGGGGAAAGAGTTTGGAGGGAAAAAAAAATAAAAAATCAAAAGATGAAAGCAGAGGGGAAAAAGAGAGAGTCCGAAATTGCAAGAAGGGAACGAGCGATGCAAGGAAATAGAGTCATTATGTCATTATGGGATCCAAACCTGAACAAAAAGTAGGCAACAAGTTAATGTGTTTCATTTAGACAGGTTAGGATGCTTCGCTTTTTTTTTTTTTCTTATTTCGTTAAAACTGAAAACTCACGACTGTAGGCAAATAAATTCATGTGGACTTATTATTCATACGGGGAAGGAAAGTGAAAGCCGTGTCTTAATGCAGCCTGTAGATAAGAAGGTCTCAAACTCCGCTCGGCGCCGCATTGACAGCGTTTTATATTCCAGCCTGTTTCTACCCCCTGTAATGGTTATTTAGTCCCAAATATTCCCCGCCACACATTTAAAAGAGTGTGTGTGTGTGTGTGTGTGGGGAGGAAATTATTCTTCTGCAGCCTATTTAAATCCAGCTCGGGGTGATTCGTTGTAATTCATGTTTATATTACTAATGAGAGAATACACACTGACTCTAAACACTGGTTACTGATATATATATGGAGGGAAGCGTTCCTCTGGATTTAGCCTTAATTCCTAAATTAGCAGCGTGTTTTAATAAATGCTGGTGTGTTGGGAGGCGGTGGAGTGAAGCTGGTCGGAGAGCCTTTGCTGTGCTGTGTACCTGCCCGACGCTAGCCGGCCTTATTAACGCCAGATACCATCTGCTGGGGAGAAAAAAAGGAGCTTAATTAATGAAAAATCGTCTTTTGTGTTCAGCCTTAATATCCACATTTGGCATAACTAATAGAGCGATGCGTGCCGGCTTCCATACAGTCAGAAGAGGCATTTAAATAAAAATATGATGGGGAGCGCTTAACGCCGCCGTCGGTCTAAAAATGGAAGCAGTTTAAGCTGACTTACTTTTGGTTAAAAGCCTCTCCAGTGTTTATTCTTCTCCCTTCCTTGTCTTAATCTCCTGCGCTCCATGTCCCTGTCTGCTCTCCCTTTCATTGCCTCTGGCTTCAGCCATCTTTGCAAACAATGATCTGATTCTCTGGTCGCTGCCAAAATTAAAACGTAGCGCGAACCTCTGCTCGCTGAAAGGCTCGCTGGACGTTTTTACAGGAACGTCGGTCTTTGTTTTGTGAGATGTGATTGACTTCCTGTTGAGTTCCTCCAGTGGCCCCGTACCTTAAAGCTGACTGGACTTTTTTATCCTGACAGGTACAACCGTTTGCAGATGAGCTGACTTTGCAGCCAATCAGATTTGTGGGTTTTGCTAAAGTTTTTTTTTTTTTGCTCAGTGCACATTTGAGCAGGATGTGAAAAGATGTCTTCTTCAAATTGTACGATATTTGAAGCCTTTTTCGTGGCGCCTTATTTTCCGGACGGCTGGTTTCTGAACATCCTGTTGATTTCCAGCGAGTCTCTTTTCATTACAGAGGAAGTGGAGATGCTGGTAGACCTCCATCCACATAATCCAGCTAATTGCTGTTGTCTTGCAGAACCAACCAAAGTCAGTAAATAATAGATGGTTGATATATGGAGCTGTACTCAGGTTAACTTTACTTTGAAAGGCATTTCTGTTTCCTTTGTAATTATGACCAATTATTGTTTGTTCCTTAACGGCAGACTCGTGCATTTTTTAAAATCAATTTCAGAAACTGTCTCTTCCACCTCTGAACCCTTCAGAGTTAAACCATTTGCAAACTTTGCCTTTAATCGATATCATCTATAGGAAATTTATGGATTATTCTAAACACACCACGAGAAGACGAGCAGCTACCGAGTGGAATAACGAAGCTTCTTCTGTGGCTTGATTATCTGAGATTTGTTGATGAGCTGCCGATGTGTGGATGGTTTCGTTATGTCTGTGCGGGTGTGTGTTGTGTGAGCAGCGCCGGGCTGAGCGATCCTGCCGGAGCGTCAGCCTGACAGGCCTTTTAACCCGGAGCAGCCACAGAGAACACAGCCCTGCATGTAACCTGTCATGTGCATAAAGCCCAACAGGTGCGACAGACCTCCCAGACTGATCGCAGCCCTCATCCCTCTCCGTGCTCCTCTCTGTGCCGCTACATGCGAC